CAAGTGGTCTATTATTATGTAAATGAGCGTAGTTCAGTGGCGTAACTGGTTAAGGCGCTATGTTTAAATCGAAAGAACTAGGTATCAAGTTCAGCTCTGGTATTTATTTCCATTTATGCTATATTTTTACCTAGAGTTTTTTTTCGCTTATACAACTTTTTCTCTCTCATTGTGTCATTTCAACTAATTCTCTTACTTTTTTAAAATTATTTTTCATCAAGTTAACTTGTTACTTTGGTTCCTTGTGGGAAACTGTGTGAGTTGCATCGACGATTCAAATCTTATCCTTATTACAACCTTGTATTTCAATCCATCTTTACTACAGYAAAGGTCATGGATTCCAAATATTCAAAGAAGTACAAACCTTGTAAAGTCTCCACTGAACACCGTCCATACTCAATTCTATGTGCATATGATAACCTTTGATATTAGCTTTGTATCGAATAAAGGTGACGTACTTTGTCCAGGAAGACAAGCGAACTCTTATCCAAGGAGCTCGGTCACCAACCATGGGGTCTTGATCGACACACCAAATGCGTTTRTCATATTGAGGATGTTGYCTCCACCTTGCYTGGTATGGATAATAATCTCCTCGATACTTAGATCGACGATACTAATAAACAAMAACAGTTCTAAACATTTGTGCAAGTTATTAGTTCCTTGTGTGGTTCGGCATTCGTTTCTTACCGAGGACGCTTCGATCTGATGGTCTTTTATTTCGCCAGACTCCATTCCAAGTGGGTTCATGTAGCTACATTGGTCTGMTATCATTTTAAAATTGATGTTATCATTTTTAAAACAATTCAGTGYCAATAGTTTAAGTAYCTTTCTCAATTGGCCTTTTACCTTCTTGGAGTTTTTTCTTTGGCTCTTCTACTCTTTGAACGTTATCCTTTGCAATTTCTGTAGTAGCAAGAAATCGTGCTCATATGTAATTACTCTAGATACCCTATCAATTCACAGACAAGTACGATTTACGTAGAKATCTTTTTTTATTCATATCTTCATTCATTCATTTATTTTATTTACCTGATTCGCAGCCAAAGACGTCAAACATCCGTACACAGGCAGTCCTGATATAAGCTTGGAAGTTTAAGCGAACATACCGTGCGTGTATATTGGGATCCAAAGTCTGCAGGTGTGCTCTAGGAAGTCCTTTTTCTCTATTGATTGCTAYRGCAAAGAGCTCGTAGTGTTGAGTWACCTTAAAATGCTAAAAACATAAAAAAGGCRAAGTTCAAGTGAAATTTTRTGAYAAGTGCAAGAAAAATTAATATGGTAAAAATAACTGAGACAAACGAGAAACATTAAAAATCAAAGTAACCSTAGGTTTTCCTTGCTGATCTAGAATCTCGGTCCATATTCTTCCATCAGGGCTGAATTCCACTGTGTAGTGAGAGACAAATTGTGCCCAAAGGTTGGTGTCAGGTTCATCTRCTTCGTAATTACTGTTTTGTCCCAGGGCAACAATTCCCACAATACGCTTRAAAGAACCTAGAGATATGTACGAATGTTAGGTTACTCAATAATGACTTCACTGATGAATTGAGAACGATCATTAGATCGCATGAAGTACGCCCTCGACCTGGAATACAACTACACAAATACTGTACAAGATACCTAAGTCAACTTGGATGGCTGTCATATTGAAAAACCGTGGACAGTAGAAGGTTTTGGAGGCAGACCTTTGCATCATGTAATCATCATTTTTATTGTTCTTTGCAARCGACTCGTCTATGGTTGGAATGTCAATAGCCTTGTCTTCCTTTGTAACTTTTGTCCAAATTTCTTTGTGTAAATAATCTCCACTTTCAATAAATGATGACATGCAATCTAGAGAAATAAAAACATTAATATTTGCAAACCTTTTCTATGGCATTTGAGTACTAGAAGCTTACACGGAGTGTCTTTACGATAAAGAGGAATCTCTGCTGATTTATAGGCCTGAACCAGCTCAAGAGAACTAAGGTAGYCCAGGAAAACAGCAAGGAGAAGACGGCACATAGCCGAGTCAGTTTGCCATGATGGTTGATGTCAATTATCCATTGTGATGTCATACTGCATCTCGKGCGAGGTCTCGCGCGATCCCMCGCGTACTTTYTGRCAATGCGGAATATTCACAAAGGACAAGAAACATCTTTTGTCTTCTTGTCTATTAATAAATATTTTTTTTTCAATTGAATATATGACTCCGTCTTCTCTGCATGCAATCCACGAGTTATAAAATGCTCTTTTGAAACTATGACGTAAGAACAAAAACTACATGTGTTTTCATTGGCTGGTTACGACAAATAACGAGTAAGCCTGGTACCGGGTCTTGTGGCCAAGATGGCGGACGGAACTGATGATGATGTTACTCTACCAAGAGGTAAACTTTGACTATTTTCCTGATTTCAATAGGAAGAATTACTATCTCGTGTAATTAAGAGCGTAGGAACGCTTCCATGGGTGACAACTAGATYTTTATTTCCAAATATAACTAAAAGGGAAGGTTATTTTTATTCAATGTTTCAAAACCTTTGTTTTTGTACATGGAAGATTAATGGAACATAAACAACTCCTATAAATCGAACTGTACTTACTCTTTATTTATTTTATTGGCATTCACGATACATAACTAACATATTTTTGAAATGGTAGAGCGCAAGTTATGAACTGTTTTACTTTGACACATTGAATATGTCAAAAAGACGGTTTTTATTTATTTTTACTGTTATATATAATATTCCCCAGTGTATTGTCAACAGTTTTGCTATTAAAATACATTGATATTGCTTGTATCGATAGCTGCAGTGAATAAGATGATCAAAGAGTTGATCCCAAARATGAGAGTTTCGAACGATGCCAGAGAATTAATCCTTGATTGCTGTACAGGTATTTTATAGCTTTGCTTTTATAATATATTATTTTTTGAAGTACATGATTGTATATCAGAAGTGCTGCAGTGCAATCACATCATTTTGTTTTTGCAGAGTTCATCCATCTTGTGTCATCTGAAGCAAARGACATTTGCAATCGCCAAACCAAGAAAACAATTTCACCAGATCATGTTTTACTGGCTCTTGAGGTATTGAAAAAAAAACTGAATTTTTCCTCCCTGTTTATCAATCCTTACCCTGCGAACAGGGGATTTTTCCACCCCCTTCTTAGATTGTGGAAAAATTCCTCTGCTCGCAGGGTAATCAATCCTAGATAACGATCATGCTTCTGTATTTGCATGCATATGCTCGTTTTTGTAAAGAAGAATTGCCTGTGATTTTCAGCTTAAATAGTTTCATGACTTCAAAGATTGTTTGGCATTTTATTCTTTTCTGCAACGTGGGGATGGAATGTTTGCTGATTATAATTATGAGACAAGATGTGTCGTTAATCTTCAAAATAAATTACTCAAGTTTATCTGAGATACTTTTCTTACCTTTATCTGTGGTGTTGAACGGAAAGGAATAATTATTAGCTCAACCACCTGTTTGTAGAAAATACAAAATTCAATCAAACCTTTATTTCCAAGGGTCGTAATGCAACAGTGCACTATATGTTGTTTTCTAGGCTCTTGGATTCCAGTCATACATCCAGGAAGTGAAGTCTGTTTTAGCAGAATGCAAAACCCAAGCCGCAGTAAGTCAAAATMGGTATATTTTCAAATGTTGAACTTTGTATTTATTGGTTTCAATATTTCAATGTTTGTTAGAACAAAAGACGAGCAAGTACTAAACTGGAGCGCTTGGTATGTACAAAATGGACAGTAATGCTAGTGTAGTAGTTCAAGTGTCTTGTGATATTGATAAATAGTTTAGAGGATTACCAGTCTATACTGAAGAAAATGTAAATCAAAACCAAATGTTTTTGGTTGGTGTGTTGATCATGTGGGAGCTTGCCTGCATGGTGGCCCTCTTTAGCTTTTCAAGCAAACCAAGATTTCTATGGAGCAGACAGAATTTCCCATCCTGATAGCAAGCCCCTATATTCATCCACAGGGATACCAAGAGGGCCACTTTGCAGGKAAAATTGGAACAAGGAGTAACATTTAGCAGATTTAATTTAGATTTTAATAATATTTTTGTAATGTTTTTTAATCATGTTTAGGGAATTCCTGAGGAGGAATTACTGAGACAACAACAAGAACTCTTCCAGAAGGCAAGACTGCAGGTATGTGCTTTCAATAAAAATTGTTATATATATTTATTGATAATTTTAAATGCCATTAAGACAAATTGTGTGTATAACTTGAAACACTTTTATTTTATAATAATCAAAGGCAGAGCAAGAAGAAATGATGCAGTTTCAACAAGCACAAGCTTTAGCACTCCAGCAACAGCAACAACAACAGCAGCAGCAGCAGCAGCAACCACAACAGCAGCAACAACCGGCAGCCACAATTCAACCATCAGCATAACAACAACATATAAACAGGGCAAACAAGAAATGGATATTTTAAAATCTTTTATTTAAAAACATTTTCGTTTATGGAAACAAAGATAACCAATTCTGCAAATTACCCCAAGAAAAGAATTTACTTTTTAAACCTTATACATGTAAAACTTTCTCTCTTCTCACAGAAKTTGACATTTAATTGTGAATTTACAAAGTCAAGTTGATGACTATAGTTGATGTGATATAGATTAAGTGAACTGCCCAGTTTGTAGGCAACTACAGAACAACACATGTATATAATATAACTGCCAGAAACTCTTTTATGCTACYTATGAAGAATCTGACAAAGTTCAGACTCAAAGTTCAAACATGTTATACTAGTTAGTAAGATATTGTCAGAATCATTTGTTAAACCTCATGAGTAAAAGAAAATATCATTTAATTGCTTCACATATTCTTTAAATTAATGGCTTTCAATTCTGTGGGAAGTAGAATCTGGGGCACAAAACCTTGAAAACAGAGTCAGATTTCTTCCAATTCTGATTCCACTTTTACACCTCCAATTCATAAATGAGAACAGATTTGAAAGCAAGAATATTGTGGAAAAGAAACAAATTTATAGGAGGTAATTTCGCATGTGTATGTGTGTACCAGTATAGAGCTCAGTGAACATACTTCTTTGTACAGCTGTGTGTAGTGATTTAATCACTTCTTTGTCAGTTTGTGGAACACTATAACAAACGATTACAACCTTATTGTTTCAACTTGGTATTTAGATGCCAACTAATAATAAAAAAAATCAATATATATCATCAAGCCATAGTTTTATCATGATTTGGATCAGAATACAGCATGACAAATTSCCTCCTGTRCTTAAAATGAYAATCTGCCCATCAGTCCATGCCATGAAAAAACTACCAGTTTGAATTTGGCACTGGAATATTCTACTTTACATTACTAAAGTTCTTTGGTTATCATTTTTCACTTTATTTAACTGTTTTAAACACAACTCCTGTCCCTACTTCTTCCTACTACCTTAGTGAAGCAGAACACYGACGTGATGCATGAAATWTACATGTATTTTTGATGTCGTAAATGTACCAGATATAAAGGGCTATAAGCACCACATGATGTGATTTTCTCATATATTAGTAACTCAGTTTTCAAGTTCAAATGATAAATTTGATGTTATTTTAGAGTTAAACGAGTAAAACAGCATTGATGCAGCCATCGTTCTCWGGATTATTTGTCACTTGTGCATATTTTCCCCAAACAACTTTACCACCTTGTGTAACAAGACCTAATTCACTGACATTAACTTCAATAACAGTTCCTTTAGTAATGACTCCTAACTGTGTATATAACGATGACTGTGGATTCTTTTTAACTCCTATTAAAGGTAAATGAAATGTGGCTTTGAGCTCTGGATGCGTTACATGAGCTTTCTTGTAACGTAAAGCCATGGGTCTGATAAATCTTTCAAATTTAGGGGGTTTTCGTGTAAACCCTTCACCAACGTAACAAGCTTTGGTTACCATTCTCTTCCATCCCTTCTTTTTYGTTTTTCCAGTTTTTACCACRTTGAATACTTCATCTTCACCAACTGCACGAACTTTGGGCAATGGAACATCCCACTTCCCTGCTTTTTCTTTCCTTTTCTGTTTCACCATYTTACTRAGCACTTTAGCTCTAGATTGTCCCTCTCTGTCAAGCAAYTAAGCTGGAACAGCTCCTTCTGGAGCCTCATTTTTTCTAGTTTTAGTTTRCTTTTCTTCATGCATTTTGAGTGTTTTCTTCATCTGCACTTTCTCTGCATGTCTCTTCTTATTGTAAAGTTTGGCCTTTAAGCCATGAAGTTTCTTTGCKTGTTCTGCTTGCTCATGTACCTGACGAGCTTCCTTTTTGCGCTTTCGRTCAAAGTGGTCAAGTCGATAACCATGTCTTTTCCGTGACTGCTCTATGTGTTCGTTTTGAGGCATGGTTTCAGCTTTGTGAAAGGTACTGAATGGCTATAATAAAACATAGGCAAATGATATAGAACTTAATAAACACAGCCAACGGTATCAATCTCATTGTAGTTAATAGTGTACAAACACTTTGTGTGCTTCATAAATAGTAACTTGACTGCATTAGTAAGCATTATTTCAATAGCAGTACCACTGAATAGTGCTAGGTGATGTACACATTTACTGTTTGTCTCTGTCAGCTTTTATAGCTGACGTGATGTGTTTCTTTTATACTATCCTTACTATCAAAATTTGTCTGAAAACTGGAATTTATGTCTCCTTATGTAGTCAATTGAAGAAAAAACTTACCTTTGTATATTCAAAACACTGATCTACAATCAAACTATCAAAGTAAATGTAAAACAGTAATGATAAACACCAATAGAAATTGCAAAATCTTACGAAGTAAAGAACAACGTGTTTAACCTAGTACTAGTCCTTTCTCATCCAAGGAACTAAAGGAGTCTGGGCACTAGAAACTGATTCGCGGGAGATTTTGCTTCAAAATGGCCGCCGCATGATTGAGTTTACAACGTTTTGTAGGTCATAATGGAGAATAAAGAAATTCCAGAAGTTCTTTTAAGTGATAGAAGTGGCTTGTTACCAGCTAATATCCTTGTGGAGCGCCTAAAAGCTGTCTGTTTCATTCAGGCAACTGTGATAGACGCGAACCAGAGACCTCGACTGAGGTAAGGTGTCTAAAGACATCGTCCTGACGGGAAGATAGTTAACTTAATTGTGATGTTTCAGTCTTCCTGGGGTGATTATATTCAAAACATTTTTATATTCTTACATGTGACGCAAGGATCAACAGATAAATAGGACTTTTGCATGAAACGGTCACATGGTATTAAATCCGCCATACTGGATGGCAAAAGAATGTAAACAACCTCAAAAACAAAAGCAACGCAGCCCTTCAAGCTTGACTTTACTTTGTTTTGAACATCCCAGTGGGTATTTTGCCATCCTGTGTGGTGGATTTTGTACCATGTGACCGTTTGATGCAAAAGGCATATTATTATTGCACTCATCTCTGCCACGTTGGATTAATTAGCATAAAATTGAATAAATCAAGCAATGTATCTATCAAAGATTTGACTTTAATAAGGGACTGGGGAAGGGGAAGGATAGCTGGTAGATTCCTTTGTAGTGTTACGCCTATTTCATTATTTTTTATATTAATATTCTTAAGGCGTGGAACTGGTTTCTTCACCGTAATTTCAATAGCTGACAAGAGTTATCATGGAATAATCACAAACAATCATGTGTTAGCAAAGAAAAAAGATGCTGAGAATGCAGAGGCTGTATTTGGCTATGATAATAACAAGCAGGGCAAGCGCATTTCTTTAAGACCTGATCTTATATTCAGGACAAACCAGGTAATAGCTGATAGTACAATTCATAGGCTGTCTAGAGTACAAACACTAAAACTGTGCAACATAAATACCACTAAATACTGCTAAATTATGCTAATTCTATTGTTTTCTATTGTTTAGTTAACACTATTTTGTAGTAAATAGTCAGACAGTGTTACACACATTTAATGTTTGTACTCTACTTTGTTTGAAGAGTTTTTTAAATAGGTGTTCAAATAGGTGTTCTGGAAATCCAAAATAAAGCAACAATGCTCTTTCTTTCTGAATTAAATTTTAAATAAAAAATTCTCACATAAATTTGTTGTGTTAGGACTTGGACTATTCATTTGTTGGCGTCCAAAAAGAAGATGTTGATGCACTCAAGCTTGATATCTCACCCATTATGTTTATTCCTGAGCCTAAAATTGGTGAAGGGGATGAGATATTTATACTTCAACATCCCAAAGGCCGTCCAAAAGAATTTAGCCATGACAAGATACTTAACGTTGAGCCACCCTTTGTGTATTACAAGGCTGACACTGAGTCTGGCTCCTCTGGTGCACCAGTTTTCTGGAGATTAAACTTGGTAGCTGTTCATCAAAAGGGTAGTGAAGAATATGGATATAACAAGGGTGTATTATGCAGTGAAATACTGTCTCATCTTAACACTGGGAAATGTAAGTATTAATCATTTCAAAATATGAACTTATTAACTTAAAGAGGGAAAATAAAAGGAAATCTTTTTGTGTATGTGTGTGTATTTTTGTGTGAAGAATAAAAGAATTGCAAGATTGGCTATTGTATAATATGAAGCATAATGCATCTTTGAAGGCTGTTATTCACTGCAGACTGAGTCATCTTTGAATATTTCAATTAAGTTTTTTTTTCAAATGCAGATACAATGCCCAAGATGTATTCTTTGTCTGAGAGTCAAGGAAAAGAAATTGATGAAGGTAAGAAAATGTATACTTTAAGTGATTATTCTGTAAGGTGACATTTATGACAACTACTCCAGCTGTTATATCTAAAAATAGTGGGTTTCTTTTGGTCATTCATCCAGCATAGCAGTAAACCTTTAATTGACTTTTCTTAATCAGATAATCCACCAATAAAAAAGCAAAAGGTTGAAAAACAAGATAGTTCAATYCRTCCTTCWGATGAAGAACTGGAAGACCTTGCCAGTGAGGTTATTGCCATATGGAAGCATCTGGGTAGYAAACTTGGTGTAAACAACAATAAAATTGAAGAAATTTCACGAGATCATGTCAACTACCAAGGAATTTGTGAAAAGGCTTTTCAGATGTTACTCTTTTGGAAAGAATCAAACTCAAATCCTTCGTACACTTCTCTCGGACAAGCATTAATAAACCTTGGAAAATGCAATCTTGCACAAAAATACTGTAAGGTCTAACAAATCATAMACATAAAAATATGTTTTATACAGTATATTTTATTTATAGACTAAAGAAACTTTCATCTCTTTTTAATTTATATGTAAAAGTATTATTTTAATACTTATTTATTATATTGGATTTGTAAATAATATGTACAAAATGAAATAAAACTAACAGTCAAAAACTAAGATTCTTTTGAATATTATTATATACAATTGTTTTACAATTGAATTCATTTTTTGTGCATGTTTGATTAGGTCTATGATCGGTGTAATTGACTGATGATTAATGWGTTCGACAACATTCCGATTCTAGTATTCGTCCCCAAGTSTCTGTATCAAGTTTACATAGAATGCCTTTTGGAACGTCATGAAAAGTTTTTATCGAGCTATATCTTCCTTGTAACCATCTTCGTTTAACKCCATTTCTACCGTAATTCATYATAGCAATTCGCTTCCATGGAAGACCTCTTTCCTTGTCGCCATCAACTGATAACCGATCCAGRGRCAGGCATTTTCGTTTCCACATAAAATCTAGATTGATGATCATGTTTTGCCATGATTTGTTGACCAGCGATGCTTGCAGGAGACTTTCTATATCCAGATATGAGAATATCACCGATGAAAGTTCTGTAGGTAGGAAGGCAGTGAAATCTGAAGTGTACATTATTGTACAAATCGTTTTRGTTGTGATCTCGTGTTTATGTTCTTRCATGCAAGTCAATTTGCTCGTTGCTTTGATAAAACCAACGCGTATTTATCTTTTTGGCTGTAATTCCTCAGTTAAAAGGAAGAATAAGGAAGAGCTCATCGCCAAGAAAGAAATTAAAATCCCCTCAAAGATAAAAATCCCCGAACGAAATCACTTTCACTTTCGCTTTTGTTGTTTACATGCGTCCTCAGCTGACTACCCGCGAAGCCTCGATACCATGCATTGCTATAGCAACAGAACTGGGTGAGCCCGTGCTAGTGTATGATCAGCTGTTTCCCTCAAAATACTGTCAGTGTGTGAAGCACATGTAAGATTTGTTATGGTAAAGTTAGGCGAGCTGAAAGTCCTRTTGTCAGGACATTACATCTTAAATGCACTATGTACAATGCTCTACCCTATACTTAGAAGTTTTCAACCTTTTTGTGGGTGGTTATTTCCGTCCGATTATTGTGAAATGGATTGGGTGAGTATCTAACTTCGGTGACTCCCACATGATCTGCTCTTTCTCTCGTTTTTAACTTTAAACGCCCTAAATATAGTTTATTTATTAAACTATATAAAACTAAATGTTTTGTTTTCTTAAGCTGTTTTTTTATTGAGAAAATAAGGTTTTTGTAATCAGCAATCCACTCATRAGCATACGCCTAGTYAGCTTACTTGAAACTTCAATATCTAATTTTGTCAGTGCTATTTTTGCATCAAGAGCTGGCAATAACGAATTCAGTTATAGCATATTTCCTGTTCTTTATAATGTAATATAAGGTTTGTAAGTGTAGATATTTGTCTTGATCTTCCAGAGAGACCTTGAGCTTCTCTCCTTTCTTGCTATTGTGTTGGCTGTGAAAAATCGAAAACTAAAACCAGGTATACATGAATGGACTATTATATCCTATTATATCCAGGGAGGGGGAACCTGGGCATACTATGGGGAATTTTGCAACATTTTTTTGTCAAGTTTCCCACCCTGGGAACAATTCTAGATGTCAAAACCCTTTCAACAATGTTCCTGAAAAACATACATGAATTTTGTCAAATATCCTTTCCCTTGGATACTAGTGTGATGTCAAATTCCCCACCCCAGGTATATATTACTAAATGACAACTTAACTTCATGGGTATACCTGGGGTCCCCTTTAAGGCCAAACTTTGACAAATGCATTAATCAAAGGAATGTATATAGTGTCACATGGACTTAGGCCTAGGATTTTATTATTGATGTTATATGTTATTATATATTCCTTTTGCAGCATCATGGCAGGAGTTTGTTTCCATGATTTTCACCTTCAGCAAGATTGCAAATTTTGTATTATTTTCCAGACAAGACATAAGACTTGGTATCTTGTTTTTGGTTGTTTGTTTGGGTGAGTATTTTACATTTGAACTGTGAGCAGGATTTGAAATGTGTGATACTAATATGTGTTTTTTTCATGTGCAGTTCTGTTTATTTTATTTCCTGAACCTGCATACAAAGGACCTGATAATATCAGATATTTTAGAGGACAGGCTCTTGATGTGAGTTCTTCTTCAAATCKTTTAATGGTGACAAACACACACAAAAAAACAATCAAAATAGTAATTGTTAATTAGACATGCTGAACATGCTGAGTCATTATTCATTTATAAGTAGCTTGATTTGTTCTTGATTGTCTTTATACTTTAGGAAGAACTACTTCACAATCCAGATGTCATATGGGTCATTGAATTCTATGCGCCRTGGTCTCCATCTTGTGTGCGTCTTGCTCCCATTTTTGCAGAAATATCACTTAGGTAAATCTGCATGTAGTTTTTTAATCAGTAATTGATTAATTTGAACTTCAATATTGTGTAATTTATTGTGATTTCATTATCATCTTTTTAGCTATAGCTGTGAATATTTAAAATTTGGAAAGATTGATGTTGGTAAATATCCTGTCATTGCTAAAAAGTAAGTAATTGAAATTGCACTTTGTTATAAAGCACTTTGTTATTAAGTTCTCTTGTTTGCTTTCCTTTTAGTATGGTATGATATAGTATGTTATTTTTCAAGTTTTCAATTCAATGGACTGTTAAAATTAAGTTGGCCTACACAACATGACCACTATTCATAGGGCTACAAAGATGTCTAGTATCTAACTAATATTAAAACACTTTTTTGCAGGCATAAAATAGATACGTCTGTTCTTTCAAAACAAGTTCCTTCACTTATACTATATGAAGGAGGTAAAGAAGTCAAGAGAAGGCCCACTGTTGATACTAAATGCGTTGTTGCTCCATATTCATTTACAGAGGTATGTGTGAAACAATGGTATCACATTATTATAATTATTAGTTTTGTTACATTATTAGTTATTATTATAGCATTAAAGTTAATGTCCTATTTTCATTTATTTTGTCTTTGAAGGTGACCTTTGTATCACTTTTAGCATTAAATATGTTCATTTGTTTTTGTCAACAAATTTGTTTTACTCTGATGTACCATTCGACAGGAAAAGATTATGAATGACTTTAATATCAAAGCACTTTATGAAAAGGCCAAGGAAAAGGAGCGATTGAAAAACAAAGAAAAGTSGAAACAAGATAAGAAGCAAGATTGATGTTTTATGATAGTGTTAATTAAATGCTAACAAGTGTGGCTAGTTTAGTGAAAATGTAGTTTCTGGAATTCCTATTTCTTTCTGAAAAGAATGAAATAATTTCTGAACAGTTTTACTATGGGAAAATAACTCTAACTAGCTGCTATGTTAGTATGTACTTGATTCTATAAATGTTTAAGCAGCTTTTATAATCCTGTTACAAAATTGATGTACAGTGGTGAAGTTTACTGTAAATTCTTTGTTTTCATGCCATTTTTACTATAATTAATAGTAAATGGTATTGTTTGTTTCACTGGTTTTTGAAAACTACTCAAATGTTTGACTTGCTTATATAAAAAAAAAAAAAAAATTCAAATATTTTGGAGCAAAAAATGTCTGTGATTGAAATTCAGTTCAAATTTGTTTAAATTTTGCTCTTGCTCAATGCCTAATTATAGAAAAATGTATTTTTATTGTTGTTATTTGAACATATTTATTAAAGATTATTATTTGAGAACTGATTGGGTTGCTCTTTAAGTCGATTTTAATACTGATTTGTATCACGTCGTGATTCTGAACGTAAATTCTAGGTGTGATCTGCGTATCAAAAATTAATTATACCCTGAAAATTCAGAACAGGGAGATTTTTGAATTTTTTTTTCTGTTTTTATATTGACGCGAGCATTTGCACTGGAAAATTGTTCAAATTGAACCTAAGAGAGCCTATCACGAATTTATCTTCCTAGGACTGAAGTTTTTTTTTTGTGTTCACAAGATACCGCAGTATCTTGGACACAAAGCAACGAGGATCGCGATTTTAACTAGACTTGACAAAGTTCAACTAGTATTGCATAATTATATCCCATCTTTGGCTGCAAGGAAGCTCAGCTTCTGAAAACATGAAGGAAACGTGATTTTGTACATAGCTGTTAGTGATAAATGCTGCTTGTGGTTTCATTTTGGCGACAATCTTTTCCTGGTAGCTAAGTCTTAGATCTGATTTAAAATCAAGTTGTACCTTATTTAACACTACGTGATGCGCGCAAGCGGACACCAAACTCTACTATTTTGCACAGGGCTATACTCTGTTCTTTACATTATCCAAAAACAAAAAAATAGATGAAATGGTATACTTTGGTGGTAACTGATGCCACTGAGAACTATCCGTTGCATACGATGAATCACAGCATTCTAGAACAGCCATGCCGTGATTGGAATCGACTTTTTCTGTTGAAAAGTTCGTGAACTTGGTAAATTTATACTAAACATGCAAGGWTCAGTTAAATTACCTCGTCTTCTATCATAAAACTTTCTCAGTAATCTAACCAYCATGGTTTATGATTGTGTTCTTTTGTGTTGTTCGGTGGTTCTTCAGTTTGTTTACTCAGTGGCAATTAATGGTTTATTTGTTGGCTYAAGCGATTTTAGTCAAACTGTGCGCCCCTGTTCACAAGCGGTGAATATCAGTCTGCTTTTCAGATTATCCCTATAATGATACTGCTAAAATGCTACTTCGCTCAAATCGAGGTGTATGTGGATTGTTGTKTYGTATATTTTAATAGTTGCAGTGGGATTGTGTATGCTACTTTTTCTTCTATCACATGGGGCAGCAATTCGCGGTGCGGCGTTTTTATGATTCAGAAAAAACACTCGACATTTTCTAAGTGATAAATGTTTTTTTGTTTTTGCACTTTATAATCATCTTTTCTATAAATGAACTCGCTCTCGGTAAAGTTTTGTCCATTCCGTGGTCACCAGGAAGAAACGAGAATCACTGGAGCCGATAACTACAGTTAACCAATTAATCAATTTGTGTAAATAAAATAATGCGAGTTTGAATACACAATAGTATCATAAATGAAAAGATTCAAAAGCATCCAAAAACACCGTTATATCCTTTCACGTGTGGAATTTGCATCTCACAGAAAACCGATATGCGTGGATTTTGAGTTGGCAATCACGTGATAGTGTTTTATTGGTCTTTAGGTGAAATTATGCGACGCGAGTTGGGTTTTGCTAATTTGTGGACTCGTTTGTTCTTTGCGCTTGACTGGTGTGATAATAGTGAAATGTAATTCTACTTGACACTTTAGTACTCAAAGTTCTCGGCTTGTTGGCACTAGTTATAGCCACTTGATCACATCATCATTCATACCTTTAAGTATTATCCTAATTGATTGATTGTAAATGATACGCGAGCTACAGCAGCTCTTCTATCTATAATTACAACCACAGTTGTGTTTTTCAAAGACAAGAACGCCCCATAACGCCTTCGAATTAAAAAACATAACATATTCTCTTCATTTCCGCTCCAGTGAGAGTCGGTATGGCGTGAGAAGGGCTTACAGGTCAAGAGTAATTTAGCGAATGCCGCGTTCAGCAAACAAAGTGATTATAGATCTCTTATTTAGGCGAACAACTTGTTGACAGCCACAAGTAATCAAATCTCAAGGGTGCTTGCGTAAAGAGACTGCTGCAGCAATATTTGTGTCAGTAGTAATTCCAACGTCCAATCCTAACTTTCTTGGCTTTACTCTAATATTCCGTCTTAATCATCTTTAGAATTGGTTTGTTTAACGTCGAGACTATCAATACAAGAATCTGTAAAGATTAATTATAACTTTGTCACTTCCAAAGGAAAACTCCTCATTCAGCTTGCTGGGAAARATCTTTAGTTTACCTAAACTCTTTTCAATTTGTGCTCCATTTTCATCGTTGCTTGGCGTGTAACGCTCATATATTTTCATGTGATTGTATTTTCGAAGATCTTGTCGAAAGTGTGAGAAGTCATTGTGTTGAGATGCGATTTCTTTAATCACATTTTGAATAGCCTCTTATTAGGGTCTATGACTGACAGTATATAAAGCCGTTGACACCTCAATCATTTCACATGCAGACCTTTTATGATTGAAGACGATGGATGATTAAGCCGTTCAAACGTCTTGTAACAGCCTGGTATTTGACAGTTCACATCATTTGACTTCTGCGACTTTCCATCGCCATGTTTCAAGTGATCAAAATGAAGCATAATCTCTTGATAATGTTAACGATTTCTTCCAACTTGTTTACAGATGTTGAAGGCGTTTGGTGGTAAGTTGAGAAGAAATGTTAGTCCTTTTTGAATTCTTGRTGACAGTTTTCTGTTTCCAATATGTGTAGCATTAACATTTTAAACACAATCATTTTTATATTGTTTCTTTCCGTCCATAGGACTTTAGGAACACAAGTTTCTGCGTCTTCAGATCCTGTCAAGAAAGGCATGTTATGCTATGTTACTCCAGAGCTTAACGGAAGACAGCGCGAAGTATGTCGCCAGCACCCTTCTCTTATGGGTAATGTTGCTTTGGGTGCCAAGTACGCCATAGACGAGTGCCAACATCAGTTTCGCAGTCGACGCTGGAACTGCTCGACTATCAGCGATTCCGGAAGCCTGTTTACTTCAGCTCTTGACCGAGGTATGTACGATTACTTGAGCCTAAATAAATGGAACTCTTGACTCTTGAGGGCTTTGAGGTGACAATTTTGAAGGCTTATTTACTTTTGCCAAAGGCTATTCGTTTTGCCTAAGCTAATGATWATTTGGCCGAACATTAGATATGAAAAAAGTGTTCGAGAGATAGTCAACTCTAGCGGGAGCTTAAAAAGGCTTTGATGATGTTAATTTTGTCGATTACAACGCAAAATCGTGAAGAAAACGAAAAAAATGAAATGCCGTATTAAAACATAACGGTGAAGCTGATAACATGTTGTAATACTCACACACACACCGTGATATAATTCTTGTATTTTTTCTTCGTCGATTCATGGGAGTGGTCACTATTTAGCTGTATTAAGTAAGACATGAATAGCWTAACAGACTGACATAGATTCCCCCCCAAAAAAACAACTTATGCCATGAAATTGAATCTAACTTCAATGATATAAATTACATATTATTTTCAGCGAAAATGTAGCTGAGCACAATTCTTCCTTTCGAATTTCTTCCAAATTGTGTAGCGGGACGAATTAGACTATATTAGACTTATTGTAAACAAAGCAAGTCGCTTTGATAAATATGTTCGTTCTTTAGTGACCTTTAGAGAAATCGATAGTCAATCCATGAATTTCTATCATGGTTGACAGCATTTTACTTTCACTTATCTATCGATTAGTAGGCCCGCACTCTTGCCATCGACATGGCCTACTAATACTTGAGAATTAGCCCGGCATTTTTCTCATAACGGTGTTAAACTAGCTTTTACGCAATCACTTATCATAATTGTTTGCCGGTAGATAATTGTACACTTCTTTAGTGAAGTTCAAGGATAAAGATAGTCGCTATTTTGATCTCAGAGACCTTTGCTTTAAATTAAAACTGTTTGGGGTTACTTGAAATGCGTACAAGTGAACACCATGCAGAGAGTGTCCTCAAGACCGGCTAGTGTAGTCTCGCAAATGACTTTAAAGTCTGTATTCATGCGCAGAATATACACATTCAGTGGGAGTTCGATGCAAGGGGTCTTAAGAAAGAGGTAAAGTTTCTACTACTAAAAAGAACAGTTTAATGTAATACCKACTGAGGGTCAAGTTCAAGCACACGAAAGATGTTTCACTAAAATGAGCTAAAATGTAATGTTGAAAAGTTACAGCATAAGGGTGTTTCTTGTGTCGCGCAAGAGATTTTCAAGATAAATGTGTAGTAGTTGCGTAAAACCTTAGTTAATTGATGTGATGGATGTCTAAATCGCTAGATTATCTAATCTTTTCACGACAAGTGTTTTTGCTCTCTATGAAAGTAGAATTTTAGTGGTCTGCAAGCATGTACAGATGCCAAAATTGYAATGAAAACTAYATTTTATGTACATAGCAGTCACCATAGCCTTGTAGATATAACGCTGATTTTCATAATATCTAAGAATAATATAAGCTACAGCTAGAATAGTGTTTTTACAGACTTATTCTACGTCAAATTTACTAAATCAAAAAACGTTATCTTCTGAGAGCTTGAAATTCCTCTTGTACTTCGTCAAACATGTCAATCGGATGCAAAGTTTTGAAATATTTGGCATAACTTCTAAGTGGAGTTTGTGAAAAAGCGTGTACAGCTTGGCCAAGATGTTCTCKAAAATATACAAAACCTACATGATTTGTTGAATGATCATCAATATTGAGTGAGGTAAGACCTCCCAAGCATTTCWGCACGTCCTTTGGTCTTTGGACGAGATGATGAGGTTGTCTCTTCGATATGATGGGTTCATATCCTGGATTAAAGCGTTAATTGCGCAGCCGTGATATTTTGTGCAAAAGATTAAACTCACTTTCAGACAAATCAAAGTTAATGGACTTTCTACTGTGTGGGTTTACCACCCAGTGCATGTTTCTCTTAATATCCAAAACATATTTATAACTTTTACAATTTATATTCTCTCTGCCGCGTTTTTACAATCAAAAGATAGTAAAAATAACTTTATACGAGCACTTAGAATCGATTTTAAGCACAACAACTTGAAAATCGTTCATTTTTCCTAATTGCTTTAATTGGGAGTCTACCAAAAGGAATGCCGTCTAGTGCCAATYCAAACAAACTGGGAGTAATAACAAATACCACATAATTCCGTGTGATATGTAGAACTTTATTGGCAAGTTATGTTTAGTAGTTCAACAACAAAAAACATTCAGCAGTGACTAAACATTTTTATGCCAAGTGCTGAAAGGTTATTGTATAAAAAATTGTCATAACATGTCAATTGTTGTTTTTCAAAGCTGCTATAACTGCCATGGAGGTCTTAAGCTAATCCAGTTTTACTGAGAAAGTTCTRACTAGTCATTCTTCTTGAATTAGTCTTCTGATTGCCAAGCTTTTAATCATATCAGGCCAATTGACAATATAAGCGATGTAACAATTTTTTTAACAGAATATTCAACATCCTTCTCTTTCAGGTTGCAGAGAAGCTGCCTTCGTCCATGCCATCACAGCTGCGGGCGTTGCCCATGCAGTAACCGACGCATGCTCATCAGGGAACATAGAAAGCTGCGATTGCGATCGTTCGAAATCTGGTTCGTCAGGGAAAGGGTGGACATGGTCTGGTTGCAGTAGTAACATTAAGTTTGGAGAATGGTTCAGTAAGCAATTTACTGAGGCACGTGAACGAGGGAATAGTTTAAGAATGATGATGAACAGGCACAACAGCAGAGCTGGAAGAAAGGTAAATGTACTCTAAAACATAAAGTATGGGCTTGGGYAGCGTGCCGAATATTACCGCGTGAAGCCTTTGTAAGCAACGCCCCTATATTTTCTAGAGATAGTAATGTAAATTTTTTTATACTCATGGAGAGCGTAGACTGATTGGAAGACAACATTTAGGCTTCAATATGATGTAATGACGGGATTTTTTTTCTTTTAACAGGCCATTGGAAAACTGGTGTGGCGAAAATGCAAATGTCATGGCCTTTCGGGCTCATGTTCAATGAAGACCTGTTGGATACAGCAACCAAACTTTCGCCAAGTTGGAGAGCACCTACGAGACAGATACAACGGAGCTTCAGAAATGATCATAAAYATTAACCGAAAAGGAAAACAAAGGCTGAAACCAAAGCACAAACACTTAAAAAAGCCGACAGAAAGCGACCTCATTTACTACCAGAGCTCGCCGAATTTCTGTGATCACAATCCAAAAGCTGGATCGCTTGGGACGTCGGGACGGAAATGCAACTATTCCTCTACAGGACTGGATGGCTGTGAACTTCTATGCTGTGGTCGTGGTCATAATATTCAGCAAGCAATAGTAACAAGGAACTGTAACTGTGTTTTTCTTTGGTGCTGTGAGGTAAAATGCGAGAGATGTAAAGAACTGGTTAATGTCTATACTTGTAAATAACGCCAAAATCAACAAAAATGTTGGAACTATTTCATAGTGTTACTCCTTTGTACAATGACTGGAGGAACACAGKCCTTACGCGCTAAATAGGTATCAGTCAATCAAGAGCTCTTCATGTAATGCACGACTTTCCTGTTTAAATAAGGAAAGCATGTATAGTATTATGATAACTTAAATTGGTTCTTTGAATATAGATTGATATGGAGAACGTGATGTAGCGGGTAAAGCTAGTACAATGAGCGAAAAAAAACGAAGCTAGCAATTCCTGTATCGCTGCTCAGGTAGTTTAAGGCTTGGGTATTATGTTGACATGCGGAATTATATATTCTTCGATAGCACAATAACCTTAATAAGTACAGAACCCAARTTCTGACACATGTTGAGGATCCTGGTACACAAGACTTTTATATGACAAATGAGCCATTTTGTTGGTCACGTGACTTTAAGGCATCAAAAACGGTTTTTCGAAAATGGGGAGTATAGAGGCTTTATCAATTAAGTTCAAACATGCTTTGATATTAAGCTGATGTTGGTTCATATATGAAATAGTCTTTTCTCGTTGTATTCACTTATTATTTAAGACAATATTTACAAAAAATCAATATGCAAATTAGGTCACGTGACATTTATCTTTAATAACTCATTTAATAATACATTTATTCAAAGAAAAAAGTCTAAAATGAAAACCATTCTTTAATAGAAACCAAACGAAATATAACACATCACGATCCGAAAAATATTTCCACTCCCCATTTTGAACCGAATATTTTTCAGTTAAAATTCAAGCTAGCTAGTCACGTGATACTTCCCTTAAAGTAAAAACATATCAAAATTTTAGCATTCATGGCTAAACACCGATAAAAGTCAAAATATCACCATCTCTTACTAAAGAAAAGGCAAGAAGCTCTTTATATACACAATTTATGCAAATTTGGCTCAACCCAAGCCTTAATCTACCTGAGTGGGTTTTTTAATACCCTAGAAAGTGGAAGTATTTTAGATTTTAACTGATAGAAAAACATGATGCGGTGGTATATTCGTTAGATAAAGCAATACAAACCGATAACCACTCCTTGACTGATGAGCATACCACACACACTGAAGCATGCTTATCTGGTGACAATTAACAAGAAAATTCAATCTTATTGCCCAAGAGCAATTCTTCTTTTCAGCACAGAGGTCATTAATTGAGGAGCAGTAATTAAGATTTGTCATCATGCAGTGAGAATGTCATCAGGCAATTTTAATTTATTTCCCATCATGCCTCGATTCTTTTTGGAATTCGTTTCCCGATGTGCTTTTTAGTGTCATCTTATGTTTCAGACATGCTTTTGTGATGTCGTGCTATTGTCTATTCTCAGAATTCTAGTGCAAGCGAGCTTAGCCTCGAATCTATGTGTAAATTCGTTGTTTTTTCTAATGCTTTCRATCCTAGGAACGAGGCTGTTCCCGCGTTGTACTTGAATTTTAAGAATAGTCAGTATTAAACCAAGTGTTCCATCACACCCTTAATTCTACTATTTGCTAGGGGCATAAAAATGGGATTTTTGTGCACGATTTCTGTGCACGTTTGAGCTCCCCAGCTATTTCTTGTCGCTGCATGGCTGCTTTTCGAAAAATATTATGGCTGAACGTAGCCTATTTATAAGTTTATTACGTATTGAAGAATACAGCACAGTAAAACTAGGACTTTGTGTCAGGTAATGTACCTGAAGAACATGAAAACACAGTGTCAATAGCTTTGTCATGATAGTCTAATAAATTTAGTTCGAATGGGATCGAGGAACTCGACACTTTCAACGTGCAAGTGTCCTGGGTATGAATCCAGTGAAGGTATTTCTTCCATAAATGAATCACTGACTTAATAATATGTAAATAAAAACAAGTCAAATTAAAGTTGGTGTTACTCGAGTGTAAAAACCCGGATTATCGATTAAAGCTCCAAATCGGCTTAGATGGCTCGATTCATTAAATCAACGAAGAGCCGAAATTCCCATACTCTAGTASATGGCTATATTCATCTAGTATGAAGTGCTGTGTTGTAATTCAAATTCTTGGTTCGCAAGGACGATGCAAGTGAAGGCGCAAACTAAAAGATGGTGCTCATCGTAAGGGCTTGCGAGTCCGATTCTGACTCCGCTTCTGATCGTTGCAATGCGTTTCGTTCGAATTTTGTTCTGCTTTTCGTGCAAACCAGGCTTTACTAAGAAGGCCGTGTAAATTGTTGAGTGCGCGGTTACACGATAATGGAGTAAAACAATATTTCACTTATCATACCTCGTTTATTAGAAAAAGAATACATGACATGATTACAGACTTTAGATATCAAAATGTAAACCAATTTCGTCGATAACAACGACCATTTTTCAAGAAAATATAACTATTTACACTAGACCAAGGTACTTTAGCACGAAGARATACAYACATAACCGCTATCTAGCGATATTTTGCTTTCTCGTTTGCCAATGCCAGTCTTCTGATGTTGTTCAAACAACCGGCGGCAGCTTCTTGTAAGATTTCGTCTTTMGATCCAACCATGACCAGTAATGGCTAAACAAAATAATAAAATGAAACTTCAATTTTCAAATAGAACGAAACTTTCATTACCGTAGGTGCAACAGTACATGTAACTCTTATATTAAAGGTTCATTTTTTTGTGAATTGTTATATTACCTTGACAACTCCGCTGTTGTGCATGGATATACAGTTGGCTGGATCACGTGATAGCTGGTAAAGCGCACGCGCAGTGGCTCTGTGTACATCTAGACTTGGTGACTTTAGATATCGTACCAAAGGAGGTACTGCACCAGCTGTACCAAAGGCCACTCTGTTATTTCCCCACATACAACACCTGCAACAGATCTTTGTTTAGTAASAAACACACGGAKAGACAGACAAACAKAATAGTAGACTTAAAATAGKAGAACTGACCTTGCAATGGATTCAGCGAGATACTGGCGCAGACGATCATCAGGCTGTAAAGAATTAGTACAGCGTAAGGGAATATTTTATGACATCAATAAGAAACAATCCAATCGAACTTACCGTGGAYGCAAGTTTGGCAAGCATTGGGACAACTCCATGATCTGTGATAACAGCAAGGTTTTCTTCGTCCTTGGCAATGTTTGCTATAGCAGCACAAACGCTGGCTAAGACCTATTATAGATGCAATAATAGTTTGTTAACAGTACTTTAATGTGCTATATAGCAACTAGGCTTTTTTCTTATTTCCTACTTTATTTTGATTTAAATGACGATCTATTTCGTTCAATATTTCAATCAATGATATATATTGTGTCTCTACAGCTTACCTCTTTATCATCTGACTTCAAAAGACTCACAATCAACTCCAAACCACCAACAAACGAACGCACCATTTCCCCAGCATCCTAGAACACCATGACGCGGTTAGTGGAAGGTAGATATGAAAGATTAACGCCAATAGGTAAGCTTACCTTAGCATTTTCGATACATGGACAGATCGCCCAAGCAGCACTTGACTGAACCTGTAGTTGATACAAAATTAGACCTTTTAAATGCATTAAGAAATATCAACAAAAGGAATAAGCAGAACAGACCCAATCACACGAGGAATATGCATGTTTGCACAAGGCCAGCAGAGGCACAACATAAATGCATCATCATTATCAAACTTAAGAACGACAYTGTCTTGAGTGCGTATACAACGAAACTCGTCCGATTGTTAAATGCGTTTGAGCCTCAGTTGTCATTGGGAATCAGCAAAATCATCATTATCACTACAATTATCATCAACATCAACACACCACGACAATTCAATTAATACAAATACATACCCTTGGYTTATTTGATTTCAGCAGAGACCACAACAATCGAACACCATCAAGACGATCAATAATCCTATTAAAGAGATAAATTTATTGAGCAATTAAATATAGCATCACTTGTATTCATGACTTACTTGGTGGTGAGCCTGGGAAAGTTAGGTTGAAAATTAGGGGTATGCAGTCAACTCTCGTTATAGCGGACACCCTTAAAACCGGGCAGCCGCAATTAAGTGTCCGCAAAAGCGAGTTCTCGCAGTCGTAAAGGGAAGGGAGATTTTAGTGGAGCGAGTATTTATTTAGGTGTCCGTAATATGGTGGTGCCAAAACAATAGTTGATTTGCGTAATAAACTATAAGAATTGTTTTACTTACGCCATGTTGTCAGTTTCAGTTGCGCATGCTCCAACAGACTTGGTGACATTAACCAYTAGAGCCTGATTCGTACTGGTCAGCAGATTTACTAGTGATGGAATACCTCCAGCCTTGCGTATRGCGGTACGATTTGCGGGAATCTGTGCACATTCACCTAATGCTCCYACAACGTTGATAAGTACCTAAATCAATGGGCATGTTGTTAGTTAAGGCTAAATATATGAGGGAAAAGGTTGAACAGGAGGCCAATGAAAGAACACAAAGTTCCAAGCGAAAAATGAATATAGTAGCTTCTAGAAGTCGGTAAATTAACTTCGCTGAATGCGTTACATACCTCCTCTGGTTGATCTGTTAAAAGTGCAACAAGCTGCTCGATAGCTTTGAGCTCCTGAAATCTAAAATAACACCACACCCTCTTAATTACTGAATACTGGATGACTTCCTAGTTGACAATCAATCAACAAAACGTATTCATAGGATTGATACCTTTACCAGAGGTGATTCTATTATAATACTTTATTACTTAAACCGATGTTCTTAATCTACTTAACGAGAGATAATTGTAAAGCAAGTTGAGATGATCAAGGATTTCTAACCTGTTGACGTTTTCAGGACTAATTGAGCACTTCCATATGGCACCAGTTGCAGCTGCTAGAAGTTCTTTGTTGTCTACATTGGTCAATAGCGATGCCAATGGATCTAAACCACCGTARTGCCGTACTAGGTTACGAGTCTCTTCATCTTCTGCGCACTGTTTTGATAAAAAAAGGATATTTAGTGTATGATGATTGTATTAGGCAAATCGTGTTATAGAAGTATGCATATGAGAGGACTCTGCATGTATTACACATTAGACCTATGGAACAATAACAATAACAACAACAACAACAACAACAACAACAACAACAACAACAACAACCATAACAACAGTAGCATCAGGAGCAACAACTGAACAACAGAAACTTTAGTGTATTTTTTTCTTTTATTTATCATTTAATTCCCTCCACTTTTTATTATTCGGCAGCACGTAAATTTTGAGGAACTTATTAGAAGTAAATAGACCACATACTTAAGAGTAGAATGCAAACCGGAAATGCAAAGACTGCATGGTAAGTATAACAAAACATAACAAAAATGGAAACGAACCTTGAATATCGCACTAGCACAATGCATCTGCAATTCTTGATTTTCACTCTTTAAATTATTGACAAGGTCTTCTATCATTCCTTCTGTACGGATAGCCAAACGATAGGTTTCCTACAAATTCATTAAATACATTTGTGACTTTTAATCTTACTGAATGGTGGGTCATCTAAATACAGGGACGGATCCAGAAATTTTGAACGAGGATGGGGGGGAGGGTGTCTATAAATTATTTTTGTAATATGAATATGTATCTCCACATGTATATACGAAGGACTCCCCCCCCCCTTGTATCTGTCAAACAAATGAGTTCAAGTTTGATACACGACCCTAAAATATTTTTGGGTAATTTTCTTGATACTTACCTCTGATGCACACTCTTGTAACGTCCCTACAACTGGTATCAGCATTTCCTCATTTTTCGATTTCAAMAGTCGTGCGAGTAAGGGAATTCCACCTGCTTTACGAGTAGATTGCTTATTCTTCGTACTTTTACTACAACTCCACAAAGCCAGGGCACCACTGCGAGCTACCTGGACATCMATCTCTGAAGCGTTTGATAGAAGACCGCAATCTAATAAACTGACCTGAAAAAACAAATTTTATTCTCATTAATATCGATACAAATCAGTGTAGTAAAATTGTGAGAAAATACTTCGAATAAGGCAAGAAGTGTTTATGAACGAACCACTAGTGAATTCAGTACAAAATAATTCACAAAGAAACAAACCAAACACCCAGATAAAATAATTTCGCCTTCGGGAACAAAAACATTTCACGTTTATTTTAATTTGTACAATGAACTCACCAATTTCTTAATGCCTCCATACTGTCTGACAGTACGCCGCGCTCGTCTAAACTTTGCAACATGCGCAATCGTCTCAGCAGCCAAACATTTGAGCTCTTTGTTAGGTGACTGGATTATTTTCACCATAGTTTGAAGACCTAAATAAAGGAAAGAAGACCTTATGATACGATAATTTACCGCACGTTGATAAAGTACATAGTTATTTTTCCGTTTCGGGATCTCCAGTCTCTTTCCCTTTCTTGGTTGAGCATTCGGCGCGCGTTGATTGACCGATTGATCAACTGATGATGATTGTAATTGATTACTCACCTCCGAGGTCAGCTATAGCTTTTCGAATAAGAACYTTCTTGGAAATCTCCTTCAAGATTTTTAAAGATCCAATCTAAAAAAACATAAAAGACATAATCCACTTWAGTTATTTCCTTGTCATTTGCGTATGTGATGGTGCAATAACGGTGAAAAAAGTAATGTTGAATGCACCTATCAAAAGCCAAGCACAACCCACCTTGCATTTAATTTCCTCAGTCTCTAGTAGGTTTATAAGGACCTCTAGTCCACCTACGTCACGAATAGCAAGCTGACAAGTCTCTTGAGAAAGGTTGAAGTCGCTCATTGCGCACAGTGCTATTATTGTAGCCGTCTGATTTCCACCCTTGAGATGGATTTAATAATCACATTAATACGATAAACAGGTATATGAAAGCATCAATATTATCTTAACTTTGATAAGGAACAAATCTCGATAAAGTAGCATCGCTATAGCTTATCATACCTTGAGGTATTTCACCAATTTCTGTATCTGCCAGTATTCTGAAGGAAGATCTGCGTTTGATTCCTAGAAAAAAAAAGCTTGCTTTATTGATTGAAAACGTCAACACACAGATTTACCAAGGGCCATCTGATAAATTTGAACACTTCTTTAGCCTCTTTCGCATCGAGGAATCAATAAGTACGCCAATATTGACAACTGACCTGTCTCCTGTCTTGYCTCTCATCTTCTTCTTCACTTTCAGAGGAGCTTTCGCTGAAATCCTCGTCCATGTCACCTTTCATTTGCGACCGCGTTGATTGCCGGGTATCTTTTCCTSCATCACTTTAACAAAATTTACAAGTTACATAAATTGCTAAACCTTTTAAATCAGTTTATTGCAGTCGATTGAATACAGATGAAATATGGAAGGAAGCTTCTGAAAACAGTGAAGATTTCATAARTTTTTGCTTACCGACTTGTTCTGTGACGAGAAGGCGATTTCTTGCCAGCATTGGATTTCTCTTTAACTTTGTCTCTAAATTAAAAATTCAATTTTTAAACAGCGGAATAAACARTGATATCTCTATACTATCATTATTATTAGCTTTGTTGGTTTCTACTCACTCCTTATCCAGCAAATCTTCTCCAAAACCGATGTTTTTCCACTTTTGTGAAGGCTCTAGATTGCGCCCTTTCCCACCTTTCTTCTTTTGAGTTGTATTTTTGGATGTTTTTGTCGTTTTGGGCTCACTAAATATGGACGATTTATATGTTAAACGTCGATAAAACTGTTTACAGCAGTTTGGAAACCAAACACAACAAAAATAAGTCGGGTTTCCGCACGATCAATAAAGAGAATGAATCACGATCTTACATGCAAACATTCAGTCAGTGAATTTACTGATAATTTAGGTATTGATTGAATATTAATCGTACTTTTGTTTATTCATGGTTTTCACTGTCTCATCTGCTTCTACGTCTTCAGTTTCCTCCTTTTCGTTGTCTTCGTAGATCTTTTCGGTTGTATCGTTTTCTGGTGCTCCGTAGTAAGCAAATTCCTGATAAAAAGAGAGCCACGCAAACACAAATTACTGGAAAATAGTTTTCTTTGTAAAAATGTTTCCCAGTATACCTTAACTTAGACTTTAAGTAAAGTAAATAAGCGTTGAGCAAATAATGTTGCTGTCGTCTTTTCTCTWTTGCAAAAAAACTGCGCGCAAATCTCTTTATGACGCAATTTAACGAGCGTCGGACCCAGGCCCGTCTGAAAATCAGGCTGAAGCATAAAAATAAACACGTACTAATAAGGCGTAAAGGGTTTATTTTATTTACCCAGCTTTCAAATCGGTTAACTATGATAATAYAATGAAATGAAAGAGGAATTCCAGCCTATTTGCTATTTTATGGAAATCTAACCGCGTTGTCGAGGCCTGGTATCAAGCGTGACGTCACGAGGAGAACGCGCGCGCGAAAACCAAAAGGTCGTCAAGTTCGAATGGCAAATAAACARGTCGACGGTCGCACCAAATTTGCAATGAAAAGTGCACATTTTAAAGCCATAAACTTTTACACCACGTACAGCACCAAGTTAAATATAGTTTTAAGATAAACTACGTATAAGGAAAGCATTTTAAGCTATGGTAAGTCTGTTATTTACAATTGTAATTTTATACTTAGCTCGCTCATTCGTACGAAGCTCGTTCCCGCTCACCTTCTTGTCGATTGTCGCTGCAAAGTGAGGACTCTTCGTCTTCAGRAATGCAGCCAAAGTAGGGTAAATATCTCCTTCTCTTTCATAAGTCAATTCACCTTGGGTATCTTTATTTGTCAGGAAATATCCTGAAGTACTAGCAAGGACAAGGAGCGAGTCGCCGTCTATCGGCTTGACCTCTATATAGCTTATGTCACCATGTACTTGCCGCCATGGAGGAGCATGGCAACCATTGGAAAACTGGTAGTCTAAAGAAAGGTATGTTTGTGTAATTAAGATAGACATAAGTATATAAAAATTTTACATCTATTGGAAGTAGGTACGGGTATTTTTAACTTATATTCCATGCTTACCGAGTACCCAGTTGATTGATTCAAGACAACTTTTTTCTTCTTCTCCTGAAAACGATTTTAGAACCTCAWACTCATCCTGTCGAGATAAAAGAAATGACTTTATGGTCATTTTTGTTTTCTTTGATTTGAAAAAAAAACAACAAAAACACAAAAAAAAAAACAAAACAACAACAGCATTCTATCATAAATAAGCTGTTGTAGTAATATACAAGATTATAAACAAATTATAAAATTAAAGACTTATACATTTTATACAAATATTTTAATATTAAAAAATTGAAAAATAAGAGAAATTATGAAATATATTTACCTGAACAGCTTCAGGGTTCAGCCGTACCTCTCTGAAAAGACAATAATGACATCAGTTACATATTCAAACTACATTTCAAACATTAATTGATGRAACTTACTTGGCAATTTTCACAACTGAAGATTGCATCAACTGTAAGTCAATCTGGTTTAGTAAAACCATTAGTCGAAATTTACTATCAAGCTCTTCAACATTRTCTGCTGAGTCTGCCTGCGCTTTTCGCAAGTCTTCATGTGCTTTCAGTAAAGCGTTGTCACTYGTGTCTATTTGAGCATAAGCTGGACCCATTACCAGGCCGACAGGGTCTTGATTCTCTGAGGAAACAAAAATTCTAGAGATTAGATACCATAAAGGCTGAGAGCAAATATTCTAACATGAGGAGYTTGGATATGTAACACTTATTTAGTGCGAACTAATAATATATTTTATTTATGTTACTGAATATAGTATTTAATTTCATATTTCATATTTCTTCTTCTTATGCATTACCCTTTAGAAATGATTTTGTTATAAAATAATATTGAGTAGAAATATTTCTCATCTTGTATCAACACACCTTCGAGGCAAGCTTGTACTTCTTTGCATTTTTTATCCCCAGCAACTTTTAAAATGCTGTTGATTTGCTCAAAACTCATAACTTTAACTATGCAATTACTTCCATCCTAGAATAATCAAATGGGACATAATTACACAATACACCAAAATGAAACAATAAATTGGAGTTGTGCATTTTTGAATAGATCACAAAGTGTTAATTTTTATACTTGCAAGTAAACAATGTGTAAAATTCAMARACAAATAYTAATAARAATTTGTTTTTTACCACATTTTTAGTCTAAATATTAGTGYAAATCATTCTCTTCTTTCAATTGAGCGCYCYAGAGAGACATGATGGTGTCAGCAKAGTGTGCATGTCKTCTTATTGACACACTCTAATCAGCCAATCAGCATGCAAWAATTTAGACAAGTGTGGTAATTTTCTGATAAGAAATGAAGGTAAAGTACCTTATTGATAGACAACAAAGGCTCTCCTGCTGAATTCACTGCTTCTGACTGCACTTCCTTTTCACTGAYTAACAGATTATAATGATAACATTAGAACCTAAAACTTATTTTAATCATCAAATTAAATAGAAAATGGAATATTTTGTRTCTGTGAGCTTGAATATTGAACCAATAAACTTATATTTTTACAACTATACCATCAACTTACCCAACTTTATATCCAAGTGAACCAAAGTTCAGGGATGAAAACATGTCAGGCTGGAGTTCTGTATGCCATTTGAAAGGCTCTTTGAACACCACCTCTGCTTCATGAGGATATTTTGATACAAGGTCTTCTATACTTTTGACAATCTTGTTGAGAAGAGCCTCGTTGTGGGGAGTAAAMGCTAGTTTTCCTTTGTTGTGTTCATTGGCTGARGTCCARTGAGCATGGCTGGACAATGTTGCTCCCATTATCACACTGCCTAAGTACAATCTAGAYAATAGTTAAAAACATATAACTCAGTGATCTTTGTTGCATTTTTTGAAAAATTTGTACAAGTCAGATGGATTAAGGTATCAATGTAAGTATCTCTTAAAATTCTTTTTTTTAAGAGAAGCATTTTCAAAGGCATTTATATTACATTGATCTTCTAAAATAATTTCGTTAAATCTATTTTCCTTGGCATWTTTTATGAAATTATGTTTAATGTTTTTGATGTCAGTTTACAGACACATCTGTCAATTCCAAATTTAATTCGAATTTGTTCTTAATTACACGAATAAAAAGCAAGAAAACTACSATCAAAMTTGCCCGTATCTTAACAACCAGAGATCATTGTTATTTTCATCGAGGTTCCGGAATACTTWACTCCAATCTTAAAGCAAAATAAATCAAAACAATSGCTACCGTTTTGCACACTGGCCCCCATGGAGTCCCATACAAGCCGCCATATTTTCGATTCAACGTGAAATATTTCTGTGATTTTAGCGAATGTTTCTCTAATTATGGTTTGAATGCATTTACTATATATCTGAAAGCAGTATCAGTACAATAAACTGTTCATTTACGCTTACCTTGTTCAATTAATTGGCTGTTTATGACTTGATTTGTGTTCCTCTCTGACCGTCTTGGATYTGAGTTACTCGGTTGTCATAGTGACGTGGTAAACTTCAGTGGGGAATCCGCTGACAGTTTGAATCCGCTGATCATTTGAAATTCGATATTTTGTGTTGTCTTTATCGTATTTTTCTCCTCAAAGCGTTATCTTTCTATGGTAACTACAATACGTGTTTGCTATGTGAAGTGTTTTCAGATTACCACTTCATTTATTTTTTAGAGGATATCCAAAGCCAGCCAAATGATAGATTAAAATCAGGTAGAATGAGCATAGWAAACGGAAATAAAACACGAAGAGGAGACAGCCTCATCCCACACAGGAAGAACGGTATGGGCCTTATAGAGCATAGTATTAGGATCTTTTTAATACGAGACGATTCATAGCCTGAGATTCTATTTGCGACTCTTGTGTATTATTGATTCTGTTATGAACTGGGGGATCTTTAAGTTTTGAACTTGGCCGAAAGAAAAACATAGTAAAGAAAATAAAAGTAAGCTGCGTGTGACTTTATCTTGCAATATATATACACATCATGGGGGAAAAGTCGGCGAGATTATCAACTAGACCCGCAATATCTACGAACTCTGATACAAAAATAGCAATTTGTAGCCAAACAAAATTGAAAAAAGTAACGAAGCGAAGTAATTAGAGGAGAGAGAAAAATGAGATTATGAAAGCTTAACTGTAAATCTGTCTTTTAATTAAGCAATTGCAACTGAAGCTCTATACTTTAATTTTTATTTTCTTTATAGTCTATCCTTATTTTCAGTTACGTTTACGATTGTACATTTAGGAGTAAAGTTGTTTTGGGAGGGGTATTTCAGGATGAAGATGGTTGTTGCCAGATAGAAACATATGAGCGAGCAAAGGCTTCTCAAATAGCCTTATTAGAAAAAAAGTTTTAGTACTACCGCATAGAGAGCCCAGTATGATTCAAATATGGCAATGAAAACATTCATCTATTATTTCACACTGAGTTCTATACTACTATACACTACAGTTCTATATTAAGCCTTTTYCATTATTTGTTATTCTCAATGAGTTCCGCAGTTTATTAAGAAGATTGTAAAATATAATATTATTCTACTTTTAAAAATAAAGATGTATTGAATGTTTTGCATGGACTCGATAATAATAACGGAGATAAGTTTAGAATTTTGCTTCTTACTGCCTCTGTAGCATTTTATTTTGAGTCTGTGGCTTTTTTGAATTTCTGGGATCAAATCACATAGGACCTGCTTAAAATCTGACATGATGAACGAGGAGTTGTTATCAAAATAATTGAAGTTACCTCTTGTTGGCTCAGACTATAGCCATGGGACGTATTGGCTTGGTCAGGGTACCACAAATCAAATAATATTTTACTGACATTTTTGTTTTGTTTGAGAATGTAAAAAAAGTGCCAAACAATTGTACAAATATCCATAATTTTGTCCACCACCTTTTCGTTTGGAGATGTGATTTCTGAACTAAGTTAAAAAAGCCATCCTTTAAGTACTTAAACTCTAAACGCTACTTAACAGTAACGTTTCAACAAGAACTCCTCTCCAAAATGTCTTTTATGTCACTTCAGTGATCTTGATGTTTTTTTTCTTCATTGAACGGCTGATAAAGTCCCAGCTTTTTCTTGCAAATCAAACAGTAGCTTCGCTTTACCTGCGATTCTCAAATAACGGCAACTCCGGACATCATTTACTGTCATGATGTTTAATTGCCACGATCCATCTTGTTTATCTTTTCTCTCTTTTACTTCTTTTGCATCAAGAATGATATTTTTATARAAAGGTGGCAAAAAGTATGGTGGGCGCAAGAGAGAGTCTGAGTTACTGATCAAGCTATTTTCTCTTGAGTCTTTTGCGTTCTGATCGCGCAGTAAGTCGTCGTTCATCTTGTGACTTCGAAGTTTCTCTGTATTGAAACGCTCCTGATGTTTCACATTTTRAGAAATCATCCTGACTTTTCTCTGTGATGACATTGTATTTCTTTCTTGGATTACTATACTTGATCTTAAAAAGTCTTGTTTTCGGCAATAAAAACGTAGTTTCGCTTCCTCTTTTTCTTTCTGAAGTTGATTTCGGTATTTTTCGTAGCGATTTTGCTCCAAGACATTACTAGTATTAACTCTTCTAACAGTACCTGCTTCTAACGGGGGCAGTACCATGTCAGTGTCTCCACTGACTAACACAGCATCTTCCATCGCGTAATATACTCTTGCCTTTATCGAAGGTCCTCGAAGCTTTAATGGTGAAGTCATAATTTCAAGAATCTCTGTCAGCTCTGCTTCTGTTCAGTGCCCGACAACAGAATGTTTGTTGTAGAGCGGTTCCGCTTGTTGATGTTTTTGCTTTACCTCATTGAGAACTCAATCCAATATTTTAAAGCATTTTGTCTTGAAAACAAAACATACTAATTTGTCTTCAATTAAATGCGATCGCATTAAAAACATTTCAACGCCTAACTCAATATTCCACCCTTTTCATGAAATCAGATGTTCAATATTAGAAATTGCCCACTTGAGCAAATCAGGGTTATTAGTGTTTCAAAAATGTCTTCAATCGACAGAAAACTGTATTTTTAAGGCTTATCTAAGATTGCTGGATTCTGAACTAAATTTCCATCCAGATTTCCGCTTAGAGTGTCAGATCTCATCCAGCTGTTCATTAGTCTTGTTTTGYAGTTACCATAGAAACATTGTAAGCCAATATCAAAAAGCAAGTGTCTTGTTGAAGGATTTCAACTGCTTTTTTATTGTATTTTTTGATTTATGGGCTGCTATGCATGATAACACGAAAAAATATGTATATCAAAATTTTATTTTGATTTGCATATATTTATTGTAGATTTAATWCACAATCGTGAGCTTCGAATATCACCAACAAACAACCTTTAAAATCTAGCTTTTATAAGTGTCTTGAGTGGTTAAACCTTACAGGATTTTAGTTRTACGTTTTCTTCACGAGTTGATCTAAGCTTTCCGGCTAGAGCCAGGAATTCACGAACGCTATCGTCTTGTGTCCTATGAATTCCATTTGTAGGATTTTTCAGGAAACTAGACAAATTAGAGTTCGCTCTGCAGGTCTCTGACAGTGGTAGTGCTCTAAGTCGTTTTAAAGGCATTATATTGCGCCAATCCGTTATGAAAGGCACGCGTACTCCGTCAGAGTATTTCTCTAAAATATGCGAGTTACAATCAATACCTCTATGTGACAGGTGGAAACATCCGAGTTGACTCTTTCGAATTTTCTCTATCTCAAGACACTATGGACAAGAAACGTTGAAATATCCCAATTGTCCTTTCCAAGTTGTTTCATCCGAGTTTGTTACTACGGTAGTGACAATTCAGATGAGACAACTCGGAAAGAGCYACTTGGTATGTCCATGTTTGGCGTCCATAATGCAAGAGCTAGTCATTCTCACCAAATGTTAAAAATATCCTACAAATTGTCCCTGATGCCATCGAACTCAAGGCAATCAAAAKATCTGAAGGATCAGATAGCATTCTGGGACATCACACAGCAACCTATAGCCTATGACATCATGCATCGTCGAAATCACCTTAAAATTCCTTATTTATTGATATCGAATCATCTAGTCGAGTTCAATATCACAGTCTGATACAGTTTTACATGCGTTGTTATCATCGTTGTCATTTGTACCTGAAAGATGTGATTTTGCTGTTTTGTTGATCAAAAGAAAAAACCTGCAAACAGAACAGAAACTATGATTGGTACAAAGTTTTGAAACGTTTACCACGGAAGAGAAGAACAACAAGAAACGAATTTGGGATGACCGGCCGGGGATATAGAACGGGACTGGAAACAACAACATRAAAAGCAATGACACTGAACAACAATAATACCTTTCTGGATGCCTTCGTATCTTGGACACCAATCCGYCCATGCGGTCAAGGAAATCCCCGTGCACATGSGAAAACAGATTGTTTTCAGGAATAAAGAAGTGACGACATGTCTTCGTTGCCAGGCAATCGAMCAGATCATCGAGCAATCCCATGATAATCTGTGACAAGTTGAGATCAACCCAAAACTCCGYTGGAATTCTCTCACAGGCCCATAGAAAGATGTTCTTTAAYTGATACGAACACAAAATGTTTGGCATCGTAAGCTCAGAGTAATAAATGGTTTTCAAAATGCGATAGCATTTGATTTTGAAAGCGTCCATATTTTTCATCAAGATGTATTCTGCCTTTGAAAAAGAGAATCGCCATTCTACAGACTTGCTTGAATGAAGTTCAAGTGGCTTGTAAACAAGGTGAAAACCCTCTTTCTTTATTTGGTGCAGTAAGGCTTCGTCTGGCCATTTTCTTGTTCGAGAGAAGAAGGCTTCCGCTTRAATCGGCCATCCGCTACATTGTATCGCTGGGCAAATATCCATACTTAATTTAAAGGACAAATCAATTTTGTTGTTTTTTTGTTTGTGATCAATTGATTCTCTTGAAGTTTGCTCGTTTCCATCATTCAGATTGTCGAGGATTCTGACGCTAAGGTTTTCTAAGAATTTGTAAAGTGTTTTCTTTGGGTGTTGAGGTATCACATCTTTTGCCTTAAAAGGTACTCCAAGCTCCACGTTCATAACGGGTCCATGACGCGTTTTCTGGAAGGACTCGACTATTTCTCGGAGGTGTAATGTGTCGAAAAGACTCTGAACTATAATACGAGCGGAACGGTTGTTTGGCAACYACGAAGAATAGACATTAGGGATTGGTTCTCCATCCTCAAAGAATATTGGGTCTGGAGTAATATACAGAGTAGACTGATGACCTCGTTTGATTTCTTTTACTTCAAGCTGTGTACCGCCAAGTAAGCTGGCGATGGGTTCGTCTAAACGAAGTCTGCAGTAACCTGGCTCGTCATGGACGTTCTCTAATGAGTGTTTGAGAATATCATAGGGGATGTGTGCAACCGTTTCAAGGACATCTGCCTCGAAGGCATTTCTTATTTCAGGATGTACAAATGTATTTTCTGGGATACTTCCACTCCAGTTTGCTTTGCCACTCGATATAAAATCAGTCAACCAGTGCATTATCCCAAATTGGTTTTCTTCAATTCCAAGATAAAGGCACTGGAAATACTCATCGATCAGTTGATTTAACTCGATCCATGTCTTCCCAGTGGTAAAATCCATCGTGTTARCAAGTCTGAATGTTAAAACAGGACGGTCATTATCATTTACGTGTAATATTCCAACTCGGTACAAAATGACTGCTATAATATTTACATAAATTAGATATGAGCAGAATGGAATAAAAAATGAATAAAAAATATTATGCAGACACATTTCTGTGGTACAAATATAGATTACTGGAAAATAATCTTCTTTGAACAGAATGAAAAAGCTAGGGTTTTATTAAGAAAAAAAAAAACAGAAAACAAAAACAGCACGCTTGAACCTATTTTTGAAAGATACAGTTGCGGTATTTCAATTAAGTTTGTCGCCCCAGAAACACTAAGACACAAAGGTGAGACCGAAACGTATCATGGGTAAGCATTCTGGTAGATTTGAGTAAATCCGACTAAAGACCCTTGTAAATTTAAGTGTATCCCATGATGCTRTCTGGGTATTATGAGTTATTGATGCTGATAAAATACATCTTTAAAATGGGGACATTTTATTTATTTTTGTCGTTAATAGAATGTTAAAAAGTTATAATAATGCTCAATGAAAATAATATTACTTTAAAGTAAGGGTTTGATCCTTAATTTTGATGTATTGAGTTTATACGTAGCTACTTCCGCCATGAATGTTTCAGTCTTGCTCCACATAATGTCACTAACAACTATAAATGCTTGATTAAAAGGTTATGTGCCGTGATTATAGAGTAGAATATCTTTACATGCGTGCTTTTAAATGCTTAGAAAATGAAATATTCTCTTTGGAAGGTTTTACAATTTGGAATCACGTTGATTTAAGTTCAMAGTTAAAATACCTACTATCATCAGTAATGTTTCTCTGATTATATTGAAATTATTATTTTACAATTTCTCACTCATCACTTCGATAGCTTACCTCTTTTTCCACTAACGTTCTGCTGAAAAATGCTTAAAAAACAGTAGATAGAGTATATGACAAAAGACAGTCGGACCAAARAGTCGCCGAACTGCTGTTCTGAGAAATTGGTAACCGAGAGGGACTGGGAATGGCMACATTAGAATTTATTACCTAATTTTTATCCGTTCTGCAAGCTACCAATCTTTAGGGTAATGTATGGTGCTTTCTCGCGTATTTTT